TGGAAGAAAAACATTTTCCTCTTAATATTTTCTAACTCAGGCAAGAGTGATACAAATGTTTGGGTTGTGCTGTGAAAACTGCTTCCCAATGAAAAGGGGCAGAGTGAGTGTGACAATGGGATTATATTTTTTTATCTTCTGAAAAACAAACTTCCTTTTAAAGATTTCAGAGTGCTTCTGTTCTCATTTATTGGAAGCGAAAGTAGATACATACATAGTTTGTATGCAGAAATCTAAATTATAAACTATAACCTTAATTACACTGTCATAAAAGTGATATTATTTATATAGATTTGTAATATAATTTTTAACTCACCTAAATAAAATGGGAACTACATGATGGGGAAAAATATATAAACAGCATGCAGTAATAAGCTGTCAGTGGTGTATTTCTGAATTTTTGCTAGATTGTTTTTAATAAAAATTTTCACAAGTTACCATCCTATGCTTTGTACCTTTTTACCATTATCATTGTGTGAGATATAAAGGAAAAAATAACCCAACTTCTAGGGAACATAGTAAAATACAGGTTTTAGAATGATCTGTAATGGTCAGAAATACATTTAAATAGAAAGAATATACACTAAGGAAGCAAATTTGTAAATTTGAAATTCTAAATCATGGGTGATTGCTATTGTTCATCAATGCAGGATTTGATAAATCTTCTTCTATAATTAAATAGATAATTATTTGTGGCCTACATAAGTAAAAAGTAAGCATTTTTTTTTAACATGCAGGAAACTACCATATCTTCAGATAGTTAAGAGAAATCGTGGAATTTTTTTTTTTTTAATGGTTTTGGGTGTTGCCTTAAATTTCCCTTGTGGTTTGCTTTTTAAGTGGTTGTAGTTTTTGAACTATATTTTGGGGGTTAACATAAAGGTAATTATTTCTCCAAGATTCTTGCTTTGTGTTTGTATGTATGTTCATATTTTAAAGTTTAATATATGGGGAAATAATTAAATGGTAATTATATTTGAACATTATAAAATCACCATAGTAGGAGCATTAATAAATACCAATGATTAAAACCGCCTTTTTCAACCAAGGTTCTGGGAGAGAGTGCTGTCATGCTCTAAGGTATCCATCTGTGTGTAATCGCTAACTTCTCTTGAAAGCATCTAGAAAAGTATTGGTAATGTGTTATCCCTGAGGGAATTGAGAAATAGTAAAATGATTTTGTGTTTTTGGTGGTTCAGATGAGGAACCTTTGTTAAAGAAAGTTTGGTAGATGGTCTTGGAAAACACTAGAATGAACAGATCAAGTGTGGTGATGCTGAAAGGAATTGAACCACTTGTTTGTCCTGACATTTCTCTAGGCTTTTGAAGGTACAATATGAGGCACTAATTCAGTTCTAATAACCATCAATAAATACTCCATATATTTAGAATATTTCTGAATTGAGCAAGTCTCTTCTTCTTCCCCTTTGCCATTGCTTACACTCTCACTAGATAAGTAGTTACACCAGTCTGGTCAGTTTTTGGGATGAATGCATATTTAAATGGAGGATCTGGTACTATTTTTCTCTCTGGAATAAATATCAGTGGGATTTTGATAAGGAGCTAATGTCTACTCTTAAACACCTCTAAGAAAACTGAATTAGAGAGACAACTTTGATTATGTATCTTTTACACTCTGGTGTGTCACATTTCATTAATGCTTACTCAAAAAATGAGAATGGTACTATCTCCATGAAAAGAATTGACAATATTTACTGTAAATAAGTGTGTGTTTACCTTTGCTTAAACAATCCTATTTTCAGGAGTGTATCCTAAAGATAAATTGATAAAAATATTAAGAGATATACTTTATATAAGGTTATCCTTTGTGGTTTATTTGTTACTGTCAGAGATCAAAAAGAATGCAAGTTTCCACTGGTAAGAGAGTTCTGTTTCAGCCTTAAAAGAAAAAAGAGCAAGAATGAGGGAGAAGTAATAACATTAGCAAGACAGCAGAATAGGAAGCTCTAGACTCTCCTTCCATAGAGACAGGGGTTTAATACAGCAGACTAACAAAATACCTCTATAAACAATCCAGAAAGTAGCTAAAAGATTCTTATTTGCCAGGCTTGTAGGAAGCCAGGCAATTGGAGACTTAGTTGGAAATTCATAACATTCTCCATGCTCGTTAGAGCTATTCTCCACTAACCCCTTTCACACACACTCAAGGTCAAGTGATTTTGAGACAAACCCCCAACTCACATCTTTTCTCTGGGAAGGACAGGAATTGAATGTATCTCAAACTGATAGGGGGAGAGAGGTTGCTAAGTAGTCTGATGCCTTTTTTTCCCCCTTGTATCTAAGTAATGACAAAAATGGGGTGCAAAGTTGGACATCCCTGAGGAAAAAAATGATGTTAGAATGTGCAGTGTTACAGACAAGCAGTAGATGGAACCCCAGGACCATGATTTACTACAATGAAAAGGTGTGATATCGCATACAAGAACACTTGAGTAGCAATTGATAAGCCCTGAGTGGACATATACCCAGAAAAAGAGAGTG